GAGGATCCGGAGTTATAGCTACATAGTGAGTGGGTTGGAGACCAGCTGGGTTACTTGAGACTGTGTAAGAAAGAGAGGGGGTGGGTAGAAAAAGAAACGGGAAAAATGTTGGCATCTGTAGCCAATCAGACAGAGTGAATGCTGCTGCTATGTCCCCAGCTGAAACAGCCTGGGATGACCAATGCTTCCATGTTGTGGGCATGAGATACATGTAGCAAATCGTCAGAGGCAGGGACACCTGCAGTCTGTCTGAGGTCTTCTGCCCTCTGTGGTATTTCTTCTCTCTCAGTCTTAATGGCAGAGCGCTGTGCTCATTCAAAAGTTTATGACCTACCTAGGCGGGGGACACAGCTCAGCTGGTAAGAGAGAAACCTGAAGACCTGGGTTCTACTCCCAGATTCCGTATAAAGGTAAGCAAGACCCATTCCACAAAGTTGTCCTCTGAGAACCACCCCTGATGCCATGACACATGCATATGTGCACACACACTCACACCAACACACACACACCACACATGTTAATATTAATTTTAGTAAGTTTATAGCCCATATTCAACCATTGTTGTTTGTGTATCAAATGGTCTTACTGTCACAGGAACAGAAAAAACATAAAATGAAAGTATTAGCTAAGTAATTCAGCACCATGAAGTCATGAACACTGTCCCCAAAACCAGCAGAATCTAGTGATGCCTGCAGAAAATGGTAGTTCAGCCCAGGACCACAGTGGTGACCCATCATAGTGCTATTTGTCCTTTTGCTGGGAGACAAGAAGGCAGAAATGCTCAAAAGAATTCACTCTGGCCCAAAATGGCTAGCACACTTGGGTGATACGTGTGGTTCAAATTGATTTCTCTACAAAGAAAACTAGAACCTGGATCAATAAACAAATAGACTGTAGCCTAATTTATGTAAGACCCCAATAGCCTTGTGACTGAGCCTCTGCCCCTCACAGCAGCTGAATCTTAACCAAGCACAGGCATGGGTCTGCCAAATATGTCCAAACTAGGACAGCTAACGTGCTGTCATTTCTTCTTCTGCTCTTGGAGGGAGTGGCCTTAATCTTCTTCGGGTCACAATGATGCCTCGTCATGGACAGTCCTTCATGCTCAAACACACTTTGCTAAGTTTCACCAGCCTTAGGATGTTTACCCAGCTGTGTACCTGACCACACCCAGAGGATCTTGGTAAGGCATTTATAAGCAGGGTTTGCAGCAGTGTGATTTAGTCAGTGTCCATCTGCAGATGAAGAAGCAAACGGCACCTGCATTTGGCTTGGAGTGACTGCAATATAATACCCTGAAGCACCTACGTTTATAGAGTGATGGCATTTAGTTTGCTCACAGTTTGGGTGGTTTGCACCCAAGATCAGGCAGCCTTATCTGTTTGGCCCCTGCTGAAGTCTGCACATCACAGTGGGGACACAGAGATATCAAAAACCTGAGCCCATTGTCCCACCTGAGACTCAGGCAATCTGAGCTGATCCCCTGTAAAAGGGCGAAATAAGTAGCCTGCTTCCGGGATACAATGCTGGAGCAACCACAGAGTGGATGGTCCTAGGAAGTAAGAATCAGTCCAAAGCAAAACCGAACCCCGCAGAACAGAGACCGAGTCTTATGGAGTCTGGCATCTGGGTCACACTGGGCGGGGTGCAGCTCAAGGGCCTGGGCCATTCTGCCCTTGTGACTTTGCTCTTTGAAGTTCACACGGTTCCTTTCTGGGGCTAGTTTTGCATGTAGCCTACAGCGTTCAGTGATGGGCAGCTGCGGTGCAGCCCAGGAAACCAGGAAATGGCATTGCTAGTTCCCAGGGCACTTTGATCACACAGCACCACCAGGCACTGCCCCAAGGTTTCTCTCTGGGATTGGGGTGGAAGCCTGTGGCCCTAATGCCTGCAGTCTGATTGTCTGTAAAGCCAGCATCACTCAGGTGACACGAAGATCTGTGGCCATCGAGCGCTTTTAATGTGATCAAACGAGAGGGCAGCTTTGGGTGGCTCTTTCTGTAATGCACCTAGAGCTGGCCACGTGTTCCCTCATTGTACATATGTGTGCGCAACCTCAACTGCTCCGGCCTGATACAAACAGCCTACAACACTTCTGGGGTGCCGAGTGCCCCAAGTAAGGGTCCCCTACAGGCAAAGATCCAGTCTGCTCTGCTCTGGAATAGAGAAATGAAGGTGGGCATACAAAGAAAACTCTGAGCTCACCCGTGAGGGACAACACAGCCATGCCCCCGTGATCCCTCACCACGGGCAGGAGGAACAGCATGGGGACCAGAGGCAAGACTGATCACCTGGACCTGGGCTGGCAGCGCTAGCCCCACCGAGAAGAACTGAGCAAGGCTTCTTAGGCCCTAGGAAGCTCCCCAGGGTGCAACATACAACACACAGCCTCCTCCTAGCTCAGTGACAGCCTGAGCCAGAGCCACATCTTGGAGGCCATGTGGCGGCTCCTGGTAGAGGAATTAGGGAAATGTTCTCTCCCTGAGGCGAGTCCATTCATGGCAAGGACAAAAGCACCAGCCATGACATCGTGTGGGCTACAATGTGAAAGAGTAGTCTGTGGCCTGGCACAGGTGCCTCAGTGGCCCTGTGCCCCGGGGGGTTCACCCACGGGGTCCTCGCTTGAGGGTCTATTGGTAGCCTTATGTAGTGTCCCCATGAAGACTCTGACGAGGCTCCGTTTTCAGGTGTCCCATTGGCTGGCCACACCCCCTAAAGAATGGTCCCTTGTCAGCCGCCTCCTCTGTCTCTGCATGTGTCCCACTCAGTCACTCTCCAGTGAGAATCTTTGTGATTACGTTTGCAGGCCAAGTCCAAAGTAAGTACCCTTTTCCATGTCGTTTGCACTGCAATCTAGGGACCAAGAGCCTACCAGGGGCGCGACCTTCCAGAAAGGGCAGGTGTGCGATCCAGGGGGCCGAAGAGAAGTAGGTGATATGGAGAAAGACGAGCCCCCAGGTTGGTCCTGGATCCAGCCTCAGCACAAGAGGAGATTGTAAGGATGAATTATAGGAAAGAGAAAGAAGAGGCAATGGCTATTGGGTATAGAGGGGCCGTCCTGGATGGCCCGTGGCCGCCTTCCGTGGCTCTCCGAGGTAGGTGCTCCCTCGCCTTCTCCATTCTAGCTCTGGCTGGTACACTGGACTAAGTCAGTTCAGAAAAGGCCCTCGGGTCACACCATCACCTGACCGTGTCCACGTGATGCCTCGGGCTCTCCGTCGGCACAGAGGGACCAAGTATCTCACGCCCTCCGTCACCCTATAAAGCCACAGGGTAAGAGTATGAGGGACAGCCCGTAAGGCACATCTAGCCCACAGGCTTCCCACTGGCCCGAGACGACTCTGCTCAGTAAGTCACACCTGAGCCCCATCAATCAGTGTCCTCGGTTGGGTTGGCGCGGTCTGCACAAAGGCGAAACAGGTACCAGCTCTAGTTTCCTTCCAATGGAGCAGGATACAAGAGTGGCTTCTTTCTGCTCACCCGGCACATCACAGGGACACTGCTGGGCCCCAGATATGGCTGAGCTGGTTCAGGGTTAAAGTGCGGCCCAGGCCTGCGGTAGCCCTAGGCCTCCTGTCTCCCTCTGGATGCTGACTTTAGAGGATCTATTCAAGGAAACCCCACTTTTTTACCCCGCACCTGCTCTGCTTTGAGGGTTCTTATTCTCTGGTGCTTTTAGAACCCAGGCCTAGCTGCAGACCTACTGTATGACTTTGGGGTTGAGTGACTCTCAGCAAGTGTAGAGGAGAATGGGACCCCTATCAGCTCTTTCGAATCTAAATTCCAGAGCTCAGTCTGAGGTCCTTGCCCTCCGTTCTTTGGGCTCCTCTCTCCTGCCCAGTGGCCATCTACCCCGATCTCCTCTTGGGAACTCCCAGTCCCCAAGGAAGAGATGTTCATTAACTGTCCAGATAACCTGTGTGGCCCTCTGTTCCCTCCTCCTCCCTCCTCCTTATCTGGGTTCATAACTCCAAATTCCATCTCTGCTCTCTGCCCCCAGCTGGTGCTGAAGGCTAGAGTTTACAAAAACCCCGCCTCCTTTCTCCCCTACCAACTGCCCTGAGGTCAAGTTTGAAGTCTCCTTTAATTCTTCTCCCTTCCCCCAACTTCCCTGTTTAAATGAGATTTAAAGAAATTTAAACATTTGTTATCTCAAAATGGCTGTTGTCAGAGTCCAAATGGGACTGTGAGTTTGTTTTCTTCTCTTCATATGCCCCACAACCACTTCAGGAGACCAGGATAGTCTGCTGCGCTGCCAGGATGGGGGGGGAGGGCAGCGCAGCTCACATGGCACATCGATTGGTCCCTTGAACTCTTGCCATCCCCGTGCCCAGCCCTGAGCCTACACCCCATGCTCAATGGAGGTGGTGCCATGGCAACTGCCTCCGCATTACACAGGGTACATGCCAGAAGCAGTAGACTCGTCTGACCTAGTTCAGCTTTCCTGGCTGAGTGACCTTGAAGAAGTTGCTGAATCACTCTGAGCCTTGCTTTTCCTACCCTGTCAAATGGACAAGACTAGACGCATGGAACCCATGGGGAATGGCCACAAATGTCCCCGTGGCTCACAGGCTTGTGATTGACAGGAATCCCCGGGCTCAGAATATCACAGAACTTGGACAAAAACTAATAATAATTCGTGCTCTAGTGATCTATAATGTGAGGGTTGCAGTAGTTGGGAGAAGAGCAGCGTGGCAGAAGTTTGTGCCATCTGGGGAGCCTAAGCAAGACTTAGACTGAGGTGCGGCACAGCTACTCTGTGCTCTGACTGTATGTTGCAGCACAAGACCCTTCCTGTTCTGACCAGCGATTTCTCTGCCCATGAAATCATGAAGACCAGTGGAAGCTGTCCACCTTTCTGTGAAACAATGAGGTCCCTTCCCATCCTGGTCTATCCCCTTAATGGGTGACGTTTTATGATTCCATTTATTCGCTGTGCCTTAGACCCCACTGCTTGTAAAACTGGGCCATGGCACTTGGATCTTAAAGTGGAGGGTAAGATGGCCACTGCCATGGTCGGTGACCCCTGGACCACAAGGTAAGAGAGAACAAACTCCCACAAGTTGACCTTTGACCTTATTGATGAACTTGCTATGGTGCTTACATGTACACACACACACACACACACGTGTGTAAAATGCATCTGAGCCCTTATGACTGTGATGGCTTCCTCTGGTTCTTACCATGATGAGGATGTAGAACATTCCTGGCCCCAGCTGGGCACACAGCTTTAGGGACCTAGTTGTCAGTGGTTGGGTTGGTTGGTGAGAGTAACTGATTTGGGGCTTTTGTCTTTTCTGTCTTACAGGACAATGCCTCGCTCTTTCTCTCACAGCTTCCTCTTGCTAGCAGGTCTATGTTGCTTGCTACCTGGATCCCAGACTAGAGATTACCAAAAGACAGGTGCCTCAGACAGTGACAAGAACCCGGAGCACACCCAATGCCAGAATTTTGCCTCTACCATCACCAACATCTCCTTGTCCTTACTCCAAAAGGCAAGCAATTGGCCTAAACAAACCAACTTTGTGTTTTCCCCAATGAGCATTGTAACTGCCTTCGCAATGCTCTCCCTGGGAGCAAAGGGCAGTACTCACAAGGAAATTCTCAATGGGCTGAAATTCGACCTCATGATGATGCCTGAAATGGAGGTCCACAAGTGCTTCCAGCATCTCGTGCATACATTCCTCCAGCCAAACTACCAGGTGCATATGACCCTTGGCAGCAGCCTGTTCATCAATAAGGGTCTGAAGGTGGAAAACAAGTTCAAGAAGATGGCTATGGAGCTGTACAACTCAGAAGTCATCTCCATCAATTTCAGGGACTCTCAAACAGCCAAGATGCAGATCAACAAGCATGTGATGAAGAGAAGCTATGGACATGTTTTAAAGATAATCAAGGACCTGCCAATAGATACAGTTCTTGCCCTGGTGACCCACATTTCCTTCAATGGTAAGGTGGGACCGGCACTGGGCTGGGCAGCCACAGAGGTCAGAACTCTAGGGTTCAAGGTCTTATTCTCAACAATGAAAGGATTATGGGTGGTGAGACAGTGAGCAGGTGAGAGTTTTATTTTGATGAGGCAGTATTTGACGAAGCAGACAAGCCAGGGAACAGAGTGGTTGGGCTCATGAATGATAATCTCCCTGGGACTGTTGGGGTGGTGCTCATTGTGAGATCAGCAATGACTATGAGTGTGGTATGTGCCATGGACATCATTTGACTAGCCACACCTTTTATGATAATTAAGTCATATAATGGGAGCATAGATATTACCAGCTGGGAACAAGAAATGGTGAGGTTTTACATTTACTTATTGCTGTGTGTAAGTGCATGCCTACACGTGACATAGAACACATGTGGAGGTCGCATCACACACAGGCTATAGAAGTCAGTTCTCTGCTTCTACCGTCTGGGTTCTGGGAACCAAATTCACATCATCAGGCTTAGAGGCCCCTGCTACTCAACCACCTAGTAACCATGATTTCCAAAAGAGAAGAAAAACAAAGCAAAGAAAACCATTTTACTGTTTAGGGTAGGATTATCCCACCTTCGTAAGGAAAGCTAACCATTCCTTTCTGGAGACAAAAGAAACTAATAGTTACCCAGGGCAACTAACCTGACCTCCACCCCAAACCTCACATTCTGTCTTAGAAGGGGATCCCCCTACATACAGTAGAGGCTGGGAATCAAAGCCCAAAACTTCTCTCCATCATAGCTTCCTTGGGCCTGGGCAAGAGCCCTGGAGACCAGAGCCCCCAGGCCACATCCAGCAAACCAAGATCTAGGTCTGCTGTGACAAAGGTGGACCTTGTCACCTACTTCTTTCCAATGACCTCAGTGATTGAGGCTCTACCTTCTCTGATGGTCTCTGTGGTGGCACTCACACAGCACAGGAGATGCTGTCCTGGCATCTGTACAAACGTTGAATACGGACTGAATGGTTGTCTGCCATGAGCAGGGATCTTCCAGCAGGGAACCTTGACTCAGGAGGTTCCTGTTTTCACTGAGAATCTCGAGGTAGGAGCAGAGTTGTATCTCAGTGTTAGAGAGGGGGTTGAGTATATGGGAAGTCATTAGTTCAATTTCTACTACAAACAATACATCCTCATGAAACTATCAAATATGTTTAATATCCAAAAGAGAAAAGGGACAGACGGAAGGAGGAAATTGCAAAATTTCCACCAAGTAGTCTGATACAAAAGTATTCTACATTTTCTACAGCTTCAAGTGATCATCACAAAATCCCTTCAATGGACCTTTGTGGCCACATTCATCCCATTTATACTTGATGAAGCTATAGATAAGAGGGAAATGTCACACAGGGGCCGGGGAATCCCTTGCTCTGCACCTAAATTTTGAGCCCACCTCTCCCTGATAGCCTCTTCTCTCTCCCCAGGAGTCCAGATTGGTGAATTTGAACCTGAGCATGTGGACACAATGGAGTTCCAACTGGATTCGGGCAAGGTGGTTATAGTGCCCATCGTCAAACGTCAGGGTACATTTTACCTGCTCAAGGATAAGAATCTGTCCAGCTGGGTGCTGATGCAGCACTATGCAGGGAATATCATAGCCTTCTTTATCTTGCCAGAACTGGGAAAGATGGAGGAACTGATACAAAACCTGAGCCATAAGCACCTCAACAGCATTCACAGACGCATTAGCACAAGGTGATTCCCCTGTCTGTGGGCCCATTCAGAACTGCCCTCTTCTCTGAGCCTGCCTGAGGTCATCCGTCAGGACTGACCACTAGCTAGGATAGGTGGACCCAATCCCTGGCTGACCATTTCGAGTCACAACCTGGGATCTCTTGAAAGCAGGGTTGGTCAGTGCTCGTTTACAAGCCTTATAACTCACTGTGAATTGTAAGGTCCTGGTTTTGGGAGTCACCTTCCCATTGTGCACACTGTATCTTCCAAATGTGACAGTCACCGGAGCCATATATTATGGCAGAACCAAGAACAAAAAGATAAGCTTTGAGACAAAGACCCTAGTTGGTCTAATTCCCAGGACAGAGTGTGCACAAAGGATGCCAGTCTGAGAATGTCTGTAGAATAACTGTCTCGGAAGCAGGAAAGAACTACCACCAGCATGCTCAAGGACAATGCAAGGGAAAGGCTTTAAAGAGAACGGGGAAGAAATTTCCATAAGATTTTTGAATACACAGAGTTTATTGGCCATGGAACCTGAAGGTGGGAATAGACATTGGTATAGGGATTGTTGCTGGGCAAGCTTTCTATCCAGAGCACTTATCCGAATTGCTGTAGTCTTAATGAAAATTATACAGGCTGCCAAAAAGAGTTGACGTGTGCCTCAAAGCATGGCATGCTTGTGCCTTGGACTCCTTGAAAAGGCACTTCTCCCAGAGAAGGAGTTCATCTGGGTGCTGTGCCTCCACAGCAGACATGGGCAGAGCTTGGCTAGGGAGGCCGAGGGAGGGAAGGTTAAAGGTGGGCATTGGGGGCTCAATTTCAGGAGGCTCCGTCCTTTGACACTCTTCAGTGTGGTTCGTTGGGTCTCTAAGGATGTTCTCCATCAGTGAGCCCGGGGCCCCGGCGTCTGTTTGTGGGCTTGAGACAAGTGTGGGAAGTGGTGTCGCTCTGCTGCACGCAGCCCTGAGGCCCTGCACCCCCAGCAGAGAGCAGAGAACCAGATGGAGTTGAGATAAGGACTGGACCCAGAGCTGAAAGACAGTCTGTCCCCAGACCTCCTCCAGCTTACAGGGTCACTCTGTTCTTCTTGTCTGAGTAGACACCACTAGGAAGCATCAGCCCCGCCAACTCTCAGGAGTATCCCTGGCTATGGAGGAGGAGGTGATGCTCGTTTCATGTGAGCAGCCTGAATCTGTGAGGAGGACATCTCAGAGGAGGTGCCACCTCTGGGACAAGATATCCCCATTCATGTCAACACCAGACCTCCATGCCAAGTATGGAGGAAGTTACAAGGACAGGTCACTAAGGTGCCTTGCCATCCTGCTGTGGACAGAGACAAGGCAGTAAATGGGGGGAACAATACTTTCACAACGTGGTGTGCCTGGGAAGAACAGGGAAGGCCACGAAACCCCTATGTTTTTCTTCCACTATGACAGGATTTCCAACTTGCATTTCCCCAAACTTACCGTTTCTACTACCTATGACCTGAAGACAGTCATGAACACTCTTGGCATCACCCAGATATTCAGCAGCAAGGCAGATCTGTCAAAAGTCACAAAGAAGGTACCTGTGAAATTGTCGAAGGTGAGGCCACCTACCCAACTGTGTAGTCCCAGATGTCTGAAGGCCCGAAGGGAATGTAGAGAGCAGAGCTTGGACGTGAGGTTAAGGATGGAGAAAGATGCATGATCAGGATCCAGGTTGAGTTCTGAGGACTCTCTGGAGGTATCTAAGAGGAGGATGGGGTTAAAGGTCAGAGCTGGGGGGGGTGACTTTTCCTATAGGAGGTTCCATGGCTTCTCCCTGAGGTGTTTCTCTGGTGATCTTTGCCCAAAACCTTCTACTATCTGAGCTTTGGTTTGCTTGTACTCATGCAGAGAATCTTAGGCTCAGTTACTTCAGAGAATGTCCTATAATCTTCCATAAATGTGAATCATAAAGTCTGATTTATGAGTGAGCTAACCAACGAGGCTAACAGTTCCGGGAAAATCAGTAGACCCCACCCCCAAACAAGAGTGGTTGAGCATGAGCTGCATACTTTTGGAGTATGGGCCCTCACATTCAGAGTCCTTGTCTCAAGAAGCTCTATGGCTTCAGGCTGCACCAAGGGTATGAGAGATAGGGTCATGAAGGGAGCAGATAGAAAAGCAGGCCAAGTCAGGAGAAGCCCTGAGTGATCACTAAAGGAGAGGGAGTCGTGGCAAGGAAAGACTAACCAGGAGGTGACAGGCACCGGGGAGGCTCTCCTTGACTGAGGCTCATACATAGTCTTGCTTTTGCCTAGCTTCTGATCTACTTCTCTCCACCTCTCTCTATAGGCTGTGCATAAGGCTATGCTGGGGATTGAAGATAAACCATCAGAAGCCTCTGAATTTCCTGATTTGTACAAGGCTTTGCTGCCAGATGGGCCCACTATTGAATTCAACAGGTCCTTCCTAGTCATCATCAAAGATAAAACCTTCAACCTTCCTTTTCTTGTGGGAAAAATAGAGGATCCCAAAGCACAATAATCACACTTGAGCACCACTTCCTACTTTTCCCATCAGGCTCTCTCCCTAGGTGGCTTCAAGCATGAGTATCACATGCAGTTTTCTGGGAGCAGCGGGCGGAGACTTCCTATTCACCCTGGTATAGATGGCAATGCCAAACCAAAATAAACAGATAAATAAATACATATTTTTTAAAAAGATGTTTATCCAAGTTCTGCTTTGAGGAACAAATGATTTTACTGGGGATTCTTTACAAGAGTGTGGGTGCATGGCTATTTACAGGGACATAGAGTTTTCAGAAACGACATGTTTGAGCAGCCTCAGGAAAGCAGTGTGAGTAAAGTCCTTACTCAACTTACAGGCGGCCATATCAGTGATGTGGCCCCCAACCTGGCAGTTATTTACTGCCCATGCCACCTCAGGAAGGGGTCTGGGAAATCTCATTTCTCTAGCCTCTGAGGTTCCTCTCCCTTGGTGAGAAAACATTCCAATCTGGAAGAAGCCGCTACCCAGAACTTCACCCTTCCTTGGCACCCTCTTCTGCTGTGTTCCCCCAGCCTGTGGAGCTATGATCATTTCTGTGCACTTATACTTGAGCATTGAGTCACTGTGCCCCAGCAACAGTAACCTATTATCAGCAATCTGACCGGTTGCAAATCTGTGTCATAATCAGCATCCACCACAAAAGGAAGCATTCTTGACCTAGGCTACCAGCAACTGCTTGCTGTGGAACAATCTTTTCAATTACTATGAATGTGTATTACTCTGATTGGCTAATAAGGAGCTGGCTGGCCTATAGCTGGGCAGGAGGAGCTTAGGAGGGAAAACCAGACTAAGAGGATGCTGGGAGGAAAAAGGGCGGGGTCATGGGAGTTAGAGCCACCAGCAGACACTCGGAGAATCAGGATGGACATGCCATGCTGAGAAAAGGTACCAAGCCATGTGACAAAGCATAGGTAAGAAATATGGGTTAATTTAAATGTAAGAGTCAGCTAGTAACAAGCCTGAGCTATTGGCTGAGCATTTATAAGTAATAGTAAGTCTCCATGTTGGTTATTTGGGATGGCTGTTAGCACAGGAAAACTCAGCCTCCTAGCAGCAGTCATCCATGGGAATAAAAACATGTTCCAAAGGCAAACTGACAGACATTTCACATATGTTTAACGACAACAACAGCAAAATGGCATCAACTTCACGCTGGGTCTGACCTCCTGAGGGTGCATTTTTGTTGTTATTGTTGGTTTGTTTGGTTTTTTTGTTGTCGTTGTTGTTTGTTTTGTTAAGGTACAGTACTAAATAAGGGTTCTTTCCTGTGGAGCATATCTCAAATACAGTCAGAAAATAGTTGGCTTTACCCACGAGGCATATTGTTCTACCATACCTTAGTTATTGTTCTACTGCTGCAAAGAAACACCATGGCCTAGGCAACTTACAAAAGAAAGCACTTAATTGGGGGCTTACCTACAGTTTCAGAAGGTCAGTGGCTCTATGGTCACTGTTACAGTGGTGCTGAAGTAGGAGCTAAGAGCTGCCATACATCCACAAGCAGGAGGTGGAGAATGAGGCTGGGCCTGGCATAGGTTTTTGAGGACTCAAAGCCCATCCCCCCAGTGACACATCTGCTCCAACAAGGCCACTCCTCCTAATCCCTTCCTCAATAGTCCACCAACTGGGAACCGAACACCCAAATGTGTGCACCTGTAGGGGACATTCTCACTCAAACCACCACACAACAAGAGGCACACCTTGCCTGGCAAGTCATAGCAAGACCACAGGCAGGCAGCGGTTCTCCTTCAGCCAACAGCTTGCAGTGCACTTTCTGACCTTAAAAAAGAGAGGCAGGAGGGAGGGAGGGAGTTCATAGCCCCTTTCTTCCTGAAATTAGTATCTCCAGTGTCTCCAGGAGTAGTTCTGGCAGACAACAAACAACAGGGACTAGGGCCTGTGTTGTGTGAGGCCTTGAATGTCACCCTGGGCAATATCTCCTAGGGAGGTTGCCCACCCCTGGCATTTTCTACCAGAAACCTTATGACCCTTGGGGGTACCCCCACTCTGGGCTTGATTCGAACTCTTAACACCACCGTTTTTTACTGCTCTTTGGATGCTTTTCTAATACTGCAGGATACTCCAAGGTTAGAAGTGTGTGTAGAAATCTTTTAGAGAGGGTGAGAGGGATCCCTGAAGGGCCACTGCCATCCATTACAAGCCAGTGTTAATCAGTCTTGGGATTTGGCAGCTAAGGAGCTACTGAAAAGCAATGTAAAAACTAGGGTAGCGTGTCTGCCTCACATATGCTGGGTTCCAATCCCGAAACCACACAGGCTGGGCATGGGGATGCATGGCTCTAGCCACAGCACTTGGGAGACGATGACAGGAAGGTGAGAAGTTCAAAGTCATCTTCAGGCTACACAGAGAATGCTAGGTTCAAGGCCAGCTTGGGATACATGAGACTCTATCAACACAAACAAAACCATACTTAATAAGGTTTAATAGATGATGAAAAATACCACCCGTCTCAGTTAGACTATTAAAACAGCAATGTTAAGTACAAATGCATGGATGGGGAATATCACCTCCCTAACCCTCTAGAGTTCACAGTCATCGCCATGAGCTATACAGCCCTCTCACCCTGGGGCACAGAACACCTCACATTTCTTTGTGCTCAGGTACCTAATGGGGTCTCTGGCCATGTTTTTTTCTTGCTGTGATTGTCTCAGTGGCATTCTGGGGACAGCCACAGTTCTAGTACAATGTCAGGGCTCCTGACCACAGCGTTTTTCATAAGACTCAACTTCCAAGGTTCCGGGAACGGCAGCTGAAGCTAGACAGCCCTAGAGCCCAGCAGAGTTTACCTGCAGCCTAAATCCTCTTGGACAATCCTGTCCGTGGAACTACCCATCCCAGCCTCAGAGGGCTAGCATGGACTCAGGCAGAATAAAATTCCTCCTTGAATCATGAGGTCCACGACAAGTGTAGGATGTGCCCACAAGCCAAGGGGCAGCTGATCTGCTAGAACTTACCCGGTGCCATGTCAACAGCATCAGAAAAAATACTCTTAATTCCCCAAAGGAAGCAGACCTAGGTCACTGCACCCCAGATTGTTTTGGGTGGGGAAGGGGCTGAGTCATTACTTAGGTAAGACCCTTTCAAAGGCACAGGTAGCCAAAGGGAAAGTGGACTTCTTGGAAAACAGTTATAGTCTGTACACAAGAAAAAATTGTCAGCGGAGAGGAAGGAAAACACACAGAATGTGAGAAATCGCTTCAGAGCGATTCCCTGGTAATAATATCTGAAAATGTAATTGTGAAATAGAATACATCGTTATGTACATACACACTCACAGACAGACACACTCAGACAAACACACTCACAGACAGAAAGACAGACACACACAGCAGACAGACAGACAGATGGACACACACACACACACACAGAGACAAACACACTCACAGACAGACAGAAAGACAGACATACACAGCAGACAGACAGACAGATGGACACACAGAGAGACAAACACACTCATAGACAGGCAGAAAGACAGACATACACAGCAGACAGACAGACAGATGGACACACACAGAGACAAACACACTCATAGACAGGCAGAAAGACAGACATACACAGCAGACAGACAGACAGACAGATGGACACACACACACACAGAGACAAACACACTCACAGACAGAAAGACAGACATACACAGCAGACAGACAGACAGACAGATGGACACACACAGAGACAAACACACTCACAGACAGGCAGAAAGACAGACATACACAGCAGACAGACAGACAGATGGACACACACACACACACACACACACACACACACACACACACACACAGTTTCAAACCAGAAACCAAACAAATCCATTAAACCTTGGATATTTCCCCAAAGAAGATACACTCTTCCTCTCCACAGGGGAGGGGTTGCCACATCAGTGTGGGTTAGAGGGACTTCAGGAAGCAGCGTCTCTGAAAAACTTGGCACAGCATCACGAGTGAGACATCAGGAACAGTGTGACTGAAGTCCTTTACACAACCTGCAGGCAGCTGCTCTAGCACGCGCGTTGATTCTTTCTCATACTACCCCGGGGTTTCTCTAGCCCACATCTGGAATCAACCCCCAACTGGTCCCCCACATTCAGCTTCTGCCACAGCAATAATGCCACATCTCTAGAGCTGATTTTCTGTTTCAATTACGCTTACACCATAGTAACCAAATATCTGACTACAGCAACTAAAAGAGCCCAACATTTATCCTGCCTTGTGGTCTCACAGAGCACTTTCTCCTGGTTGTTTGCCTCTCTCTACTTGGACACAACATCGTGGCCACAAAGGCTGTTCTGCACTTCATGGTGGACAGAGAAAGAGAAAAGAGGGATGACAGAAAGAAGCCAGGGCAAAAGGCAGCCTTAGGGGCAGACACCCACTGACTACGTCCTCCAGCCAGGTAGCTTCTATTGGCACTCATCACTGCCCTCAAAATGGCATCACATACTCCACACCCTGGTTAAGCCATAGATTAAGTCAGGGCTGACTATCTCTAAAAAAAAAAAAAAAAAAAAAAAAAAAAAAAACACTCAGGGACACGTCAAGAGCTACACCACATGGATTCCTGAGGCCTTTCCAAGTCCAGTCAAGCTGCTCACCAAGATTAACCACACACCCACACACCACATGTCCCAGCAATGTCATCTCCCTTTATCCCCAAAGAAGTGAAAGGACCTTGAAAGAAACCTCTACACTCACGTTCAGGACAGCACAATATACCCAAGTTAAAATATGTGCGCCCCTAAGCTATGTGCCCATTAATGTCTGGATAGGTGGGCAAGCAAAACTGGATGCAGAATAGTATCTATTCATTTTATTTATTTATTTATTTATTTTATTTTGGTTTTTTGAGATGTTTCTCTGTATAACAGCCCTAGCTATCCTGGACCCAGCTCTGTAGACCAGGCTGGCCTTGAACTCATAGAGATCCACCTGCCTCTGCCTCCTGAATGCTGGAATTAAAGGCGTGGGCCACCACTGCCTGGCCGTATCTATTCATTTTAAAATTACATCACTGGGTGAGTGTAATGAGTGTAGAGCATAATGTCACCAGATGACAACTTCTGCAACCTCAAGACCCTTGCAGGCTTGGCATCTTAGAGAGGCCTTCCTTCCTTCCTTCCTTCCTCTCTCATCCTCTCTCTCTCTCTCACCCTGGTTTTTTGAGACAGGGTTTCTTTGTGTAACAGTCCTGGCACTCACTCTGTAGAGCAGGCTGGCCTTGAACTCACAGAGATCTGCGTGCCTCTGACTCCGGAAGGAAGCGCTTTCTTACCATGCCGTTTGTGAGTGTGTGTGTGCTTTGCATCTGGGTCTGTGGCCCTGTATGTGTTTTTAAGGTATGTGTCTGTGAGGGAAGTCACGTGGGTTACAGGGATCAGCTGCACACATGAGGGTGAACGGGTCCCCTTCTCCTAGCCCTCCAGCAAGGTCCCTCCTCCCTGGAGTGGCCACCGTCAATGGTCTCTCAGCTACACCAGAGACCCTTTTCTGAGGCACTGGGCCATTATCCCCACCCTGTCACAAAACAACAGAGTTTGAGTGCAGTGCAGCACAGGTCCTAGCACCCAAGGGAGGCGTCTCAGGCCGGGAATGGAAACACACTCACTGACTTCCTGCGGGTGACAATTATTGAAGACACAAAGGCTAGGCATACGTGTGGACCCATGCAACTTCCTGGGGCAGGCTACAATGGCCACAGAGCTCCCTCTGTTACCCTTCTAGATAGGTGGTACTGACCAGTTCTGCTTCACTAAGTCAGGTCAGGGAAAGACAGCCAGGCCCTCGGGCCACGCGACCCATGGTACACCTGCTCCTAGTTGAGATTACAGGCTGCCCCGGGCTCTCCTCCCTCATGGAATATCATTACACACACAGGGACCGAGTATCTCCCACACTCTGCCGTGCCTATAAGTCCCCAGGGCAAGAGCTAAAGGGGCAGTCAGTGCCTCACGCCCAGCCCACGAGCTTCTCACCGCCTTTGCCGACTCTGCTCAGTAAGTCTGTAACCAGCGTCCGTCTGAACCCATGGGAAGGGCACAGCCACCCTTCCCACCTGCCTCCATACTTCCTCCATACTGAGGACTCAACTCCTATGGGCAGATCCAGAGGAGAGCAAAGACCTCCCTCAGGCTCCCAGAATACAGTTTATCCTCTGACCTGGTGGCCTGGTGGCCTACCTCTTCCTGAGGAAACCCTCTAGGCCTGGGCTGGCTCTGGGTTGCTTACCTTTCTGTGTCTCCACCTGTTTTTGAGGAGGGTACTGAGGAGACATCTCAGGCAGCGCTCTACCCCATTCCCACACCCAGTGTTCTCAGCTTGGGAATCCTTTTATACCCAGTCCCACGACCCTCTACCGGAAGCCACAACGGGCCTTGACCTCTCTCTCTCTCTCTCTCTCTCTCTCTCTCTCTCTCTCTCTCTCTCTCTCTCTCTCTCTCTCTCTCTCCTCAAATGAGCTGCTGCCTTTCCAACCCCTCTATCCCCTTTAATATTTGGGGTGTTATTCCTGGTTCCAGCCTGATGGCTGAAGGCTGGTACAAAAGGCCAGAATTTAAAAAAAAAAAAAAAAATTTAAAAAAAAAAAAGGGCTAGAATTTACCAAACCTACAAACTGCCCCCAAAATCATATCCAATATCCAGGTATAAGCACCCATGTCTGTGTTTACACTCCTAATACCCTTCCTATTTCTGTTCTTAAAAAGAGGCTCAGAAATTGACCTTTATTACAAGTCACACGGACGCTAGTGGCACGGAGCTTTGTTAAACAGGGCGGTTTCTCTTGTGTTGTCATTGTGGATGGGAGTGGAGTGGGCCCCAGAGAGCCTGCTGTGGGACCCGGTTCTGCCATAGTCACTGTTCACTGTCTTGAATGTGTTCTTTAACCTCTCTGGGATGTTATGGCCTCGTGAAGAAACTCCTCAGTTAGCTCCCCTGCGGGACTGAGAAAGACGGCAAAGTGCTCTTATGTATCGGAAGTGTAGACATGGCCTGCACTGAGGATTAATTGTCACTAACTCTTCCAGTGGTCGGCCTGTAAAACGTGACTCCCCCCAGACTGGGAGTATAGCACGGGTGTAAGAAACCGTGCTTATCTTCAGATGTGCCAGTCATTGGTTAGGAGAAGTTGACACCACTTAGGATTGTGTCCCTTTCTCTGTCTTGCAGAATGATGACACCCTTTTTCTCCCATGGATTCCTCTTGCTGGTAGGCCTGTGCTACCTGCTTCCCGGAACCCAAGCTACATATGAAGGACTCTATAATGACTCGGGCATTAATCGTTTTCATTGCCGGAAGGTTGCTCTCACAGTCAGCAATGTCTCCATCTCTTTGTACAAACAGATGGCCCAGAAGTCAAGATCTGGAAATATTTTATTCTCCCCTATAAGGGTTGTTGCTTCAATTTTAATGCTTTCCCTAGGAGCCAAAGGTAAAGTTAGTCAACACATCCTGGAGGCCCTGAAGCTCAACAAAACAGGCTTGCCTGAAGCCGAGATCCACAGGTGTTTCCAGTATCTACTCCATGCCATCAACCAGGCCACAGAGGTAACCTCACTGAAAAGTGGTAACAGCATGTTCATCCACCAGGACCTGAAACTGGTGGACAAATCCCTGGAGACAATCAAGGACCTGTACTTCTCTGAAGTCATCCCCACCAACTTCAGAGACAGCAATAGGGCCAAGGCACAGATCAACAATTACATGATGAAGAAAACCAACAAGGAAATCGTAGACATGGTCAACGAGCTGAAGAATGACACATTCCTTGCCCTGATGGACTACATTGTCTGGAATGGTAAGGGTGATGTCGCTAAGCTGGGCTGGCTCCAGGAAACTTTTCCAAATAGATGGTCATATTTCAATGTTCTGCCTCCTTGGCACCTCAAAATAGAGGAGGGGAAAATGCCTAGATAATAATTTTCAACAACCAATAAGATTGGAGGATGGAGGATTAAAGCAACTCCTTAGCTGACCTTGTAAGATAATCATTGTACAGATGTTCTTTTGAAATTCTTGTGAGTGAAACAGAATATAGAGTATTTTCTGAAAGAAATTACAGCATGGTACACATAGGGCAGTTTCCGTGGAGAAACACTCTGAGACACAATAAGTGTTGTAGAGTCATCTTTGGAGCCTGAAAACATTGGCTTCTAGTGTGGCCTCCATCATCCACTGCCTGTCTGTTGGAAAAGCCATTATATCTGCTTTGGGAATGACTGTCTGTTTTACCATGGACAGAGCTAGTCCAATGCTGTGGGGCTATGAAAGAATTAGAAGAATTAGTGAGCTGATAACAGTGCATGGAACTCTGTGGAGTGTATGCACCTGATTAACTAACCTTGGCCGCAAGCTTGACCTCCTTCCTGACAATGGCTAGGTAAGGATCCTCAGGGGAACGTCTGTGCACCAAGGGAAGATACAGCCACAGGAAGGACTGGGGGTTGGGGCTAGGCCTGCTCCTCTTCCCTGAGCTCCCTTTTCCCTGGACAAAGTCCTGCAGAGCACAGCACCCAAGTCATAGTTTCATTCCCTTCCCAGACCCTCACACCTCCAATGAGAACATGAAGCCCAGGGTCTCTGAGGGTCCTACTCATTCATGACTGTGAGGATAGGTCCCTGGGGCCCTTACCTATTTGGATGACTATGATGATCGTGTTTTTGTACAGCCCTTGGAAAGCTACCTAAGTATTTGCACTGCATCTAGGGGTTCAGAAAAGGACTCAAGGTACCAGAAAGGTTTGTCTTGAAAATAAATTAAACCATTGCCTAAAAAGGGCAAGAAGCTTTAGAAGCCTCCAGTGAAACAAAACGTGTGTGTGTGTGTGTGTATGTGTATGTGTGTGTGTGTATGTATGTGTATGTGTACATGTATGTATGTATGTATGTGTGTGTGTGTGTGTGTATGTGTGTATGTGTGTGTGTGTGTGTGTGATAGAGAGAGAGAGACTTAGGGGCCACTGACCACCTGTATTCATTAAGATTTAGCATTCCCAAGGAACCATTAAGTAAACATAATATTAATTCTTTTCAAAGGTAAAGTTACCTTTGGAATCTGGTAGAATCAAGTTCTACATCCTTCCCCAAGTCCAAGTGACCCTCACAAAGCCCTTGCGCCATCTTATGTCCATTCTTCTTCTGGGTTTAGCTGATCTCCAAGAGGAGACTCCTGGCTCCTTTCTACTCATACAGTTTCACAGCCCTAGACCCATCCTGGCTAACGCACCCTCTTCATCATCTCCAGGCAAAATTATCAGCAACTTTTATTGTCAGTTCATCAAGATGGAGGATTTCTACTTAGGACGCAAACAGACCATGAATTTACCGACAGTCAATAATGTGGGTGTGTATCATCTGTTCCAAGTCTCCAATCTGTCTAGCACGGTGCTGGTGCATAGCAATGGCCAAGGCAGTGTCATAGCCTACTTCATCATACCTGATAATATAAAGTTGCACCAGCTAGAGCAGAGACTGACCTACCCTCACTTCCGCCAGATGATTCAAAAATTTAGCCTAAGGTGAGTCCCCCTGTCCCAGGAACCACCCAGAGCCACCCAACCTCTGATCAGCACATGGCAAAGGCCCTAGAAGACTGGCCAGAAGCTGGGACCACAGCCACTTTGAGCTTCTAGACAGAGAAATGTTCATTCCTATAGCATAGGCAAGGCTTGTTGATGGAAACCATGCTTGAAACAAAGAGGTGGACATGCTGTCCTCAGGGGAAATCATACCCGGGTATGGACACATTACAGCCTCAATAGGCAGAGCCCAGGGCATGGACCACAGCTGCAGTGTATATTATGGCTGATTCAAGAAGATGGAGATGGCTCTCAGGCCCTAGCCACCTTATAGGTTAGAGGTCGAGGTGGAGGGTCCATGGATGTTTGGAGGATAGGAGAAGAAACTGTGTCAAAAATCTCAGACAGAAAAGAACTCCATTCCTCCATCTCTCTTGCAAAGTGGAGTTTACCAGGCCCTGCAAATCAGCAAGCAGATGCTGTGTGAGTGAGATGTGTTAGGAAATGAATGAGCACTCTGGCAGGCCTGAGGTGAACTATAGGCCAAGGTGCCACTCCGCTGCCTGGAGCAGCACTTTCTATGCCCAGAACCTGCGAAAGAGAGCAGAGAAACCAGCTGGGGCTGGGGATGGAGCTGTTGAGAGCCCAAGGCCCAAACTGAGCACTGAGCCTTCAGCATAGCAGGGAGAGGAGCTGCACTCAGAGACACTGACTCCCACACTGACTCCCACTCTCCTGCGAGTGCGGGGGGGGGGGGTTACCCTGGTTGAATAAGGGGAGGGTGACCAAACACTGCAGGACACAATGAGACAGCCTGAGTCTGCCTGGAGGACTTCTCGGAGGAGGTGGCATTTTAGGGGCTCTGTGGACAAAGTGTCCCGTTCACACTAAAGAAAAGCTTCCTCTCCTCTTCGCTAGGATGGTCAAGGTGCACATACCCATATTGTCACTGTCTGAGACCTATGACGTGGAATCAGTGATGGACCTACTAGGAATCACCCCTGTTTTCAACGAGGAAGCCAACAGCTCCGAGATCATGCAAAACACACCTCAGAAGTCCTTCAAGGTGAGGTCACCTCACAATGTGGTCCCAGAGTCTGTCTGAGTCAAGTAGGTAGGGGTGTAGCTCAGGAGTGAGGGTCAGGAGAAGGGAAAGGGTGTGAATCAAGGCAAGCTCCTATGGAGGACTTTTGAGATTTATCTGGAGGATGGGGTCAGAGGTCAAAGCTTCAATAGGGGGGATTTTGTGCTGCTGATAATGTAAGTACATTCCCTGAATGGTCTCTCTGAACCTCCATCTCACCTTTTTCCTGGGACCATTGAGTCCTTGGTATTTAAATTACCCATATTCCTACAGAGATACTTAGGCTTAGTGGCCTGGGACATTATCCTAGAATTTTTCCACCTGTGGCTTATAGAGCGACTAGTCAACTACAAAGCCAGAAATCTTAATGAGTTTTCTGAAGATACTACTGGTTCGGGGAAATGAAAGGCAGTTCAGAACGGGCTAGATACCCTTGGAGTCTGGACACTCAGGGTCATCTTCAGAAACCCAGTCTCCAAAGGGCTGACAGCTACCCACTGGAAAGGGCGCCCTTGTGCAGAGGACAGGAAGTACAAACGTCCCTCCCACTGTGAAGCTATGAGGAGAGATGGAATCAGGAAGGGAACACGGAAGCGAGTGGGCCAAAGCAGGCAAAGCCTGGAGGAAGAAGAGAAAGGTGACCACCATGGAACAGGCTGAGGGCAGGGCAGTATCAGAAAGAGTGGACACAAGCTCTACCTTCGTGAGTCCCACATGAGAGCTTTGCAATAGGCCATGGTGGCTGCTGCCCCCTTCTGACATGCCTCTGTTCCCCTTCCTACAGGTGCTAAGCAAGGCCATGCTGACCCTCGATGACAAGGGGACCAATCCCACTAAAGGTCCATGCCTTGGACAGAAACAATGGTCTGACCTTCCTCTTGTTAAACTAAATAGACCCTTCCTAATCTTCATCCAGGACCTAACAAACAATATCCCCCTCTTATTAGGCAGGGTGGTAGATCCCAGAAAGTAACTGCTCTTGGGAATCAGCCCCTCTCCTGAGAGCCACGTCCCCTCCCTGCTGACATTAAACATGGGATAGTTTTGCCTACGCCTGAGTGTCCAGCAAACCCCTCTACTGGCGGTGTCTGTGCCTTCCTCTGTTCCCTGGGGTGTGTGGAGACTCAAGGTCATGACACGTCTCTGTGTCTCCTGTACCCATGTTGTCACATCTCCAGCACTGAAGGGAGCGGACCTTGTCACCTTCTGGTTGCATTGTGTCAACCTACTGGGCCTTATTCTCTCTATCTTACTGGGAATTTCCTGAGAACGGCTGGAGGAGATGGAGCAGGACCCCAGCCTCTGTCCTTGTCATTTCTTCCCTGCCAGAGGTGTCTCACAAGTCCCCCAATGAACAGGAAGTTCTCTGGATCTTGGCCGTCTTCTCAAGCCAGTCAGGCCTGTGAGCCCAAAGTCACTTACTTTGATTCCCTCATCCTTGCTGACCATGAAGCCATGCTGTACAGATGGCTCAAAATGGTCATATCAAGGACATATCACTACAGAAGAACACCTATCCTTTCCCATGGTCCCCTGAGATCTTCCTGAAGTCATATGCATCTGCCCCTACCCCCATTTTCAGACTCTCGATGTAGTATTCCAAGGGCAATGTAAGTCTCGGAGTAGACCTCAGGATTCACCTTGTCATGGGGTCAGGCGGTCCATCCCTGCCCTTGTCAGCCATCAACCTTGTTATCTGCCTACAGCAGCCAGAAGCCCCATCCCAGAGAATGCAGCTACTGCCCAGAACACCTCTGTCTATGGGATACTACCCATTCCAAGCTCATCTAGGGACACCCCCCCATCCCTGAATAAATGTGGACAGAAACCTTTGGCTTGAATCATAAGATTAATATTTTACATCAAACATGTTATAGTCATGTGATTTCACAGGACTCATTAATTAACACACACCAAGTATTTCTCTAAAGGTGACACTTTTTATGTGGTCTACTAGTACTGCCAACCTCCCCAAACGCCACCGAAGATAAGACCATCCTCATGATGGTAGTGACACTCGATTACAGGGTGTCAGGACCTGGGTTCTAGTTGAGACTGACACATGCACATTATGTGAACTCTGCAAAGTCATCCAACTCTGAGCCATAGTATTTCTCTTGGGGATGATAAAGTCTATTTTGATATATTATGGCCTTTTTTTTCCATCTCAGTAGCCCATGTGCCATCGTGAGGGATGGTATCCTTCCCATCAGGGGTATTCTGTAGGAGCCAGACCTCCCCATGGATGGGACTGGAGAACATTCCCTAAACGCCTGTAGCAGCACATCACAAATCTGGCGAGAGACAAGGTGTCACTGGCCATGCTAGAGAAGCATCAAGTTGCAATTGAAGTTCTGGGTGTCAGCCCACCAGGAGGGAATCCTCTGATGGGTCAACCTCATTTAGGCAAGGCCGCGGCACTGCAGGCCCGGGAATGACTTTTGCTTCTGCTGTGCTTTTACATGTTTGCTGTGGCTCTCTTTCTCTGGTATCTAACATGGTATGAATGGATGTGGGACAATCTCCACCGCCTGTAATATAGTGCGTTTATCTCTTGGAAACATCCCAGTTTACTGGGCATTTTTACCTGTGGATCGTCAAGAAGATAATCCCTCCTTAATCTGTACTGTCTAATTTGATAATAATAGTGATAGCTTAAAAGAGTTCTAATGAATAAAAATAAATACCAGGATATGTTTCACAGCCAGGGTCTGTGTGTTTCTTCACCTAAGGAGCTGTCTGGATTGTAGCTCAGGTTAAGGATTAACTATTGGGTCCCAATAGCCCAGCCAGTTTAGATTCTTTTAACGCTAATGTTGGAAGATGTGTTCACAGGTCTCAGAGTGCCTCACAGCTGAAACAAAGCTTTAGAGAATAAATAAGTTAGACTAAGATATTTTTGTTAAATAACTCTGAGGTGAACAATCCAAGAAGACAATCTAAAGTTTTAGAAAGGCACATGGTTAAATATGAAACTCTTTAAGGCCCGTGAACAAGAATAAAGCAGCCTAATTATCACTGGCTGATTGATATACTCTCTTTGTTAAAGTTTGGCTGATAACCAACGATGATGATTAATTCCTTATACACATTTCTGCCCTCAATCTCCTGTTATAAAAAACTATGAATGAATGAATGAAGATTTAAAGTAGAGCCATCTGAAGGAAACATCAAGAGAGTTTGTGAGTGCCTTTTTCCCTAACCCCCTTAGATAGAAAAGTCTAACCTCGCTGACTGGACCCTCAGACAGTGGTAAACGGAAGCAGACCAAGGGAGTTGCTGGTCCCTTCAGGACAAAGCATCTATCAGGAATTCTCATTCCTGGAAAGCTTACCACCCCCACCCACCCACCCACCCTACCTCTACTGCTCAGAGAGCTAGTCTGCATCCTTACAAACTAACATTTCTTCTTGAACCTTGAGGAATCTTAGGCCCACAACTGAAGTTTTGAGCATTTTTCTAAGATCACACTGGGCTGCCTAGTGGAGATACAACCACTGTGCTAGAATTCTCCCTACCTCCATTTCACTAGCTCACAACAGAGCACATTATGAGAATCCCCCCACCTGTCCCCAAAGTGCCCTCAGGGAGACTTATGTGAGTAGAGCTGAAGCCCTAGTGTCCAGGGACTGGTGGTGGTGGAAAGGACTTAAGGAAGTGAGGTCATTACTACACTTTTGATGACTGCAGTAGATACAGGAGGAGCAAGATGTTATGTTACCAAGCCATGCCACGTGCCTCCAACATGACAAGCAAGGTTCCTAATGGGGACCTCAGCTGGAGCTGATAGGGCTGCTCACCCAGACACAGGGAGAAGCTGGTTTCATTGGGAGTTTGTGATGGGCTAAAGTTTGGCACTTGTCCACTAACCCTGGGCATTGTTTAAAAATGTCCCATGCTGGGGCACTTCGACCTTGAGCTTAGACTACAGTTTCCCTGAGCCTTGCAGCCTTGGAGCCACTGTCCTCGACATGTGTGTGGAACACCAAGTGACAGCCTACACTATTTGAACAGCTTTCCATTCCATGCCAGAACAGGACTCTGACGAGATAGGCAGGTGTGCCCTGTTGTGCTTGTGTGACCTCCAATAAGGGAAGGTTCCACATTAGAGTGTGTGTATGTGTGTTCCTATAGGCATGTCTGTGTGTGCTGTGAGTGTGTGTGTGTGTGAGAGAGAGAGAGAGAGTGGGAGTGTGTGTGTGTGTGTTCCTGTCATTGTCCATCTTTATACATACCTATATCTGTGTCAGAGTGTATGCACCCATTTGGGAAGGGTGTAGCATGGAGTAGAGGCACACACGAGGATAAGGGAACTTTATTCTCTCCATTCTCAAGGCAAAGTTCTCCCTCCCTGGGATGGATGAACACTGTCAGCTTTTCTCAGCCCCACCAAGGGCCCCTTCTGTGGCATTAGGCACCTGGCCTATCTCTCTGTTCCCAAACTCACAGCACGTAGCAGAAGGCCAGGTCGTGGCGTGAGCATTCCCAGGCCAGGGGTGGGAGCTCACACTCTGGCTGGAGACAGGTAACCCTGCAGACACCGTGGCTCAGGCACAGTCATAGGCCCACGATGCTCATGAACCTATTGCTCCATTCCCGGCTGTTCCTTGAGGTGGGCTGAGGTAGCCACAGAACTACCTCCCCTCCCTGATTTCACAGAAGGCTAAACTGAGGTGGCTGCTCCTGCTGGACTAAGCCTAGAGAACCCACAGGCCATAGGTCACAGCAGCACATGGCCAGGCTACAAGCTGCCCTGGTTCTTTTCCACCAACAGTGCCCCGGGCACATAGGGACTGAAGGTTCCTTTTCCTACTTAATCCATGAGTCCCCAGAGCAACAGCCTGAGGGACAGTTGGTGTTGCACATCGAGCCCACTGCTCTCCTGCTGGCCCTGGGAATCCTGATAAGTAAGTCTTCACTTGCCTCCTCCAGAACCCACGGGTGGGCGTGGCCAGCCCCCACCTAGCTCAGCACACTGTACATAAGGCACCCTGAAGCACACAGGGTTGCGATGGAACCAGAGAAGGAAAAAAGCCTTCCTCTGAGTTTTCAGCACACAGTGGGCCTACAGGTGATGCTGGGCATGCTGGCCTGGTGACCTGCTCCAGCATGCCACCCTCCCAGACCTAGGCTGACCCTGGGCCCCCTGCTCCCTGGTCTCTGCTGGCCAAAGGTCTGGAGCCATTGAGTGCACGTCTCTGAACCAATACCCTTGGAATCCAAGCCCAGCCACATAACCACACCTTGACTAGGACTGAATGACCCATAACCCAACCAACAATCAGTTCGGGCTGATCAAAACATATTTCCCAGGTTTCCTTGCAACAGTTCCAGATCCTTGCTCCTCTGCTTTCTGGGCCCATCTCCTTTGACCTCCTGCTGGGAACTCCAGAGAAGGGAGGGAGGTGTGTTTATTAACTCTTCAGATAACCTGGCTGCCCCTCTGCCCACCTCCTCCCTCTTTCTTATCTGAGTCCATGACCCCACCCTTCACCTTTGCTGCCTCCCTGGCTTGCTGGCCTGAGTCCACTGCCATGTACCTCACCTCTCACCAGAACAATGATTCCAGTGTAACAGACATGAAAGCCAGCCATGGCAGAAGGGAGGGGGGCTGGGACGTGAAACGGGCTCTTCAGACATGCTACAGACAGAGGCAGTCAAAGAAGACACTGGCGAGGTCAGAGAAAGGTCAGGCGCCCAAACAAGAACGCTGACACAGCAGCAACTCCTACTGCAAGTGGAGGCAGTCAGTTCAGATCCTAAGGACTGACCTTCAGGGCAGACACTGAGATGCAGGAGAGAGAGAAAGAGAGAGAGAGAGAGAGAGAGAGAGAGAGAGAGAGAGAGAGAGAGAGAGAAGAGAGAGAGAGAGAGAGAGAGAGAGAGCCTTGCTGAATAAGGCTGTCCTCAGAAATCACCCAAAGGCTTGCTGTGTTTGACTTTACAAAGTATAAACAGTATGCAGGGGTTGGT